TTACGCATCATAACAAATGTCCAAAACTAAAAAACGTTCGATAAATACATTCACGAAATCACGTATTATACTGTAACGTTCTACTGCCTTTTACTTCACTAAACTGCATGCACCGGACCGATTTCAGAGCAGCCTGAAGTCCTTAAGGGACACACAAAAATTTGATATAACAGGTTTTACACTTACCTCATGTTAAAAGCCGGCTAGAAGTCTGCTCAGACGCGGTCACTTGCTGCTGTGTCATCATTAAACAATAAAAAACGTGCTACCACTTCTAAAGATGCGAGACCGGCGTTTCAGGCACCAAGCTATCAATGTCTCTGTTTGTGAAAAAACCTTCAGCTGACTGTGTATTCCAAAAGTGGGAACTGGTGAGTTTGTTTCTTTGTTTGTTTCTAGAGCTAGCATGCTAATGCTACCTGTATCTAATGCCTATATTATTATGTTGCCATTTCTGACTGATATGCCTCTCAGCTTTTAGATGTCTCTGTTTGTGAGAAAAACTTCAGCTGACTGTGTATTCTAAAAATGGGAGCTGATGAGGGGCAGCACGGTGGCACAACTGGTAGAGCTGCTCCCTCTCAACGAGCAGGTCCCCAGTTCAAATTCAGGTCTGGGGATCCTTCTGGGTGGAGTTTGCATGTTCTCTCCGTGCATGCGTGGGTTTTCTCCGGGTACGCCGGTTTCCTCCCACAGACCAAAAACATGCATGTTAGGCTAATTGGTAACTCTAAATAGTCCCTAGGTGTGAGTGAGAGAGTGAATGGTTGTTTGTCTCTATGTGGCCCTGTGGTGGACTTGCGACCTGTCCAGGGTGTACCCCGCCCCTCACACAGTGATTGCTGGACATGGGCACCGGCGACCCCCGTGACCCAAAATGGAAGAAGCGGGTAAAAGATGATGGATGGATGTCTAAAAACGATGCAGAACCACTGATCCATGCTTTTATCACATCTATGTTGGACTATTACAATTGCTTATTATCTGGGTGCCCAAATAATTATTTAAAAAGTCTTAATTTAATCCAAAATGCTGCTGCCAGCGTTTTAATGAGAGTTGATAGTAGAGATTATATTTCTCCAGTTTTGGCTCCCTGTCAAATTCAAAAATTAATTCAAAATCTTACTTCTAACCTACAAAGTTCTCAACAACCTAACTCCATTTTATATTACAGATTTTATTGTTCCATATTTTCCTAACAGAGCACTTCAGTCTCAGACTGCAGGTTTACTTGAGGTTCCTAGAATTTACAAAAGTAGAACGGGAGTAAGCTCTTTCAGTTATCAGGCTCCTCTCTTGTGGAACCAACTTCCAGTTTCTGTCCATGAGGCTGACACATTGTCTACTTTTAAGATTAGGCTGAAGTCTTTCCTTCTTGATAAATCCTATAGTTAGAGTTGGCTTGGGTTTCTTGAGCTTTCCCTTAGTTATGCTGCTATAGGCTTAAAACTGCTGGAGGACAAACTGACCACATTTCCTCTCTCTGCTGCTGTCTTTACTTACTCTACTCTACCTACATGTTTTTTTAATGTCTACTTATTTCTATCCTTAACATGTTTTTTTGTTGTCTTCGAATAGAAAGTACACCTGGATTTGCCATTCTGTGTTTGTTTGTGTAGTGAACCTGATCTGACCCTGATCTGACCCTGATGACCTCAAATCTATCAGATGGACAGAGACTGTTATTTCATTGATCTGAATACAGTTTGAGCCATCTGGTGACTTTCTTTCTTGAATTAATCAAGCAGAAAAGACAATTTTTATGATCATCACTGTTTTACAAATGTTTGATAATCAAAATTGTGTTAGTTCACTCAATGCTTACAGGTTGAAGAGAACTACTCATTTTTATTTTACATAAACAGTAAGTAATGATTTTTATTCCTCATTCAAAGAAGAAATCAGGTTAATATGCATTTCTTGATTTTTCTGTCTGCAATGTAAGTATGTTAAAGGTCGGTTTTCGGTCAACTAAAATGTTTACCGAGAAAGATGTCATGTTTAAACTTTTTCAGAAGATTATAAGTGTGAGACTCCACGAAGTCTGAAGTCCTACAATAATCTTTCTGTTCGTTACTAAACAATCCTTGATTTTTAATAACATCTTACATCATACACCACACCTCTATTCCTGGTCCATCGACCAATCAAAAGCTCTCAAATGAACCGGAAGTCGACCCATTTAAAATGTGGCAACTTCCCAGTTCATGTTAGAATTCCAGAAGATGAGGAGTTAAGGAGTTAAGGAGTTAAGGAGTTAAGGAGTTAAGGAGTTGAGGAGTTGAGGAGTTGAGGAGTTGAAGGAATTCCAGAGAATTCCAGAGAATTCCAGAGGCTGAGGAGATGAAGAACTAGAGAGTTGCTGGAGTTGAAAGATTCTGTTAGAGTCTGAGAAGTTCTGAAGAATGAAAGGAATTCAGAGTTCTTGGGTGCAAACGCGTTCAGGATGATCCAGAGACGTTTTGGGATTATAATTTCTGTTTGAACACCACGTACGACTCTCTGAGGGTTTGGCAGTTCTCACGGAGACGCTGAAAAGAGTCAGAAAGGAACCTGCTCCGACGCTGATTTCATCATCAACAGGTAGAGGGTTCTATTTTCGACCAAGTGTACCGTGGGCAAGCTGATATCTGATGGAGCGTGCAATTTCTGGTCAAACAGATTAATTCCCTCACATATCTCTCTGTAAGATAAATCTCCATTTCATCTTAAAACTCTCCTCTATCTCATAAAATCAGTACAGATATTTTAGAAATATCTGAAGCAAAGTCCTCAGTCACCGCCGCGTGATTGAAGTTCATTTTCTGTGAAACTTGTCTGTTATTATTTTCATATTTTGCCAAATTAATGTAAATGTTTGATGTTAAATTTTGATTCTGAAAATAAATGACCGCATTCATTTTGATGGGTCAAAGATAAATAACGTCTCTCGTTACATTTCTGTTAAATTCAATGCACGACATTACACAGTCAGAAAGATGAGGAACTCGTGAATATTGTATGCATATATCTCTCGTATATTGTCATACTACAACTGGTGGCCCGTACGGGGACCGAACCCGCGACCTTGGCGTTATCAGCACCATTAGGTTAATCACCTGTGGTGGTACTGTGGTGTCTTGGTTGCTAGCAACTTGGCAGGCCTCTGGAATGGTCTGCCCAGCCTTAAGGCTCGCTGTGTCTAGCACAGGAGTATCCTTTGTGGCTGGTTTGAGGGACCACAGCACCTTGTTGATGGTGTCCACATGGACACCCAACCTTACCAAAATGTCAGAGCCTATGTAGGATGCATGTGGTAAGTTTTGGATAACGAGAAACGGGTGAACCAGTTCTCGTTGATTCCAGTTCAGTTTTAGGTTAATGACTCCTTCTGCGGTCATTACCTGTGAACTATTGGGAACTAATGGAAAGCGGAAAGCTTTTTTAATTAGTTCTAGACCAACGTGTTTGTGAACCAAGGTTTCGTAGAAAGCTCGGTTAATTGCTGATTTATCTGTCCACAGAGACAGTACAGCATCGTTGGTGTGGGACCCTTGGATCTCTACACCCTTAACTACCAGTGGTAGGTAGTGTTTGGTGGACTCTGACTGTTCCAGCTCACAGAGGAGGCTGTCTTGTTGAGTCAGAGTTTGGACCACTTGGTGGGTCTCTTTGGTTTCACATGATGTCAGAGGAGTACTCACCGGGTTCGTGTCCTCGGCTGAGGAGTCCTTTGTGCCTTCCGCGGTACCTGCTGTTGGGCAGTCTGTGTCACACTCCGGAGGCGTATCTATTGGCAGTGGTTTGCTCACTGTTGTCCACATTGTTTGATCACCATAATCTATAATCGCGTTAAAGCGATTTATAAAATCCTGGCCAACCAAAAATGGGAATGAGTCAACACGAGACACGTGTACTGGGTGGTACAG